TCTAAAGTCCTTCACCTCAAATTCTTTGTCCAATCTTATCTTTAGCTAAGCAATCCCAGCATCATCTTCACTAGTCATAATCATGTCATCAATATATACGAGCATAGTTGTGTGACCTCTATATTGTCAAAAGAACACCATATGATTAGCATTGATCTGTTGATATCCTTGCCCACTATCTGGCTTGTACTGAATCTTAGTAGTATCTTCATATACACCTCCAGTAAATCACCATAAAGAAACTCATTTTTTATATCAAGCTGGTGTAACCTCCACCTATCATTCATTGTCTGAGAAACTAGTGTTCTCACTGTGCTCATCTCTTTCGCTAGTGTAAAAGTTTTGTTATAGTCAATGTCATACATCTGATTTTTCACCACTAATCATGCTTTGTAATGCTCTGCCTTCTTCTCTTAATGTTGTTTCACTATGAAGATCCAATTGCGCCTAATTGCTTTTTATCCTGTTGGAAGTGTATAATAAGTAATAATGATAATAATAATAATAACTTAACAATAAGAGCATCGTTTGGTAGAGAAGTGTCGTTTGGGGAAAATCAAACGAGCACTTATCCTCTCATTCGGTTTGAAATCACCTTTATGATTGTTGTTTTCGCCTTCTATACACATTTGCTCATTTGATTTTCATTGTCCGACCATCAATTCTCTTTTTGATTAATTTCAAGTCTCGGGCGGGGTCGTGACATAGTGGCACTATCTCCTATGTTCAGTTTTTATCGAGAGCCCCAAGCTCTTCATGCATGACCGCTTTTCACTTGGGATCTTCCTTAGCTACCTGTCAACACTCGGGTACAGAGTGTCCAAAGATGCAATGAATGCTCCATGTACAGGTGATATGTTAGAGTATAAAACAAACGGAGTTGTTTACACCCAAAATGATCAAGAGGATGTCACACATTGTTGTGAGAGGTTCTTAAAGTTATGGGGTTGGAAGTAGACGGAAGAGGAATCATATCATCTATGGTCTAAGGTGGATAGAGTAGGTGTCTCAAGATTTGGGATAGACCGAGACAAGGGACTAGGTGGCATGAGTGGCCTTGCAGGCATTGTCATTCTGCATCCTCCTTATATGCACACTCAGCTCCCCTTCAACTTAAATCTCTCCATATCTTGGTTCAATCTCCTCTTTTTCGGCTTTCAACTGATTCATCTCACAGCACAGGATGAGGCATCACTCCCACATGCACCAATCGTTCACCATTACTAACCCTCTCTCACCTCATACTTTCAGTATCTGGTGAGTGACCGAAGGGTGAGGTCACCTCCAGGGTGTAGTACGGTCCGAGTTCTTTAAATGATACATTCATACTCACAAATAATATCTTCTCTATTCGGTTCTAACAAATATACCCCTTATATTTCTCCGCTTTGGGATCTATCTTCCTTATTGATGGTTTGTTGTCCTTCATAAAACATATATAGCCAAATACCTTCAATGGAGAATCCCACTGTTTTTTTCTTTAAACATCTAACAATGAGACTTCCAATCCAACACTCTCGAGGGCATTATGTTAATCAACCGAACAACTATTAAAACTGTTCTCCCCAAGTGCTTTGGGGCATTCATCGCCATCATCATGCTTCGAGCTATCTATAGAAGGTGTCTATTCTTTCTCTCTACTACTTTGTTTTGTGCTGATGTATATGGACATGTAATTTGATGATGTATTTCTTGGTTGATAAGTATTCTCCAAACTCTTCGTTAATATACATAGTCTCATCATCAGACCTCAATAGATTCACTTCTGCACCATATTGAGTTTGAATTGTCTTGTGAAAATCCTTAAAACAAGCAAACACAACACCCTTATTTTTCATCAGATATAATCAAGTGATATGAGAAAAACAATTAATAAAAATCACAAAAAATCGATTGACATTCATTGAACTCGTAGAATAAAGTCCCCAAAGATCAGAATGTATCGGATCAAAAACGCAAGAACTCCTTTTCCCATTACTGGTATAAGAGTTTCTAGTAGGCTTACCAAACTCACAAATATCATATACAAGTTTCTGTTTATTTGTCTTTTCATACAAAGACGGATACAAAAGATTAAATAAACTAAAAAAAGAGTATCTAGTGTGGCAGCAACACATCTTCCATAATCCTCCCAGATTTCCCTACTATAACACTCTCTAATATGGATGTCAAGGCTGAGTCCATTTTCTCTCTATCAAAGTACCAAAGTTCACTTTGTCGCGTTTCAGTCTCGAGTGTCTGACCCATCTCTTTCTCTTGAAAGATTATCTTAGGAACATCAAATGAAACATCATATTTTAGTTAGAGAATAATAATACTAATGGATAAAAAGTTCACTGGAAAACTATAATAATACTAATGGATAAAAAGTTCACTGGAAAATGAGCATAAAAAACACTAGACAAAGTTATAGAATTGATACACATCACTATACCGTTACCAACTACAAGATGTGTTATACAATCAGCATTTTGGATGCTCTCCAGAACTGCTAGGTGAGTATAGGAGGAAAACTCTCTAACAATACACATATCAAGATGCGTCAGAATCTACCATTCATTTTGGTGATCTTGTGGGGGAAACGACAATAGCATGTGTATCACGAGTATTTTTGTCAGAGTAAGTAGCAATGTTACCCTTTGATGACGAAGGAATGGATGCATCCTCGGCCCTATCACCTGATGCTTTTTGCTTGCTCTTCAACATCTCCAAAAACTTATGGTCCTCATCGGTAAAGACCACATCTGTCTCTCTCTCGCCCTCTACTATCATCAAATTTGCACGGTAGCCTCCTTTTTCATCTCTTTGACCTCCACGGCCACAACCACAGCCTCCAAATTATCCACGTCCACTTGTCTCTCTCTCCTTAGGTGACCTAGGACAAACTTTGCTCAAAGGGCCTACTTCATCGTAGTTGTAGCACTTGTGAGTCTCGCCCTGAACACTTATCATATCTGAGCTCGAGATAGCCAAGACTAATCGTGTATCTAGAAGTCCACTCGGCTCGGAGTGTAGTCTCATGCGACTCTCCTGTATCATCACAGCGCCAACCTCATCCAGTGAAGGGACATAGCCTGGGCTAGGAGAACTGATCAGAAACTGCATAGTTTTCATCTGTGCAAAGATCTCTCTTTTTTTGCACCTGGATCACCCCAGCTCAACAGAGGTGAGAAGTGATCGAGATCTGCCTAAAGCCGCTCTAGTTCTAAGGAGTACTCTTGAATCAATTTATCACTCTATATCACAGCTTCTATCTCACATTGAATCTGAGACACACTTATGTGGTTCTTAGCTCCAGCATAGATCTTTTTCAGCTTCGCCCAGATGTCACTCTTCTTTCTAATTTCATCTACAGATTAGGCAATCGATGGAACCATTGAATTAAGTAGCCAGGTATAAAGCAATGCATGTGTGGTCCTCCACTAATCCCGCTTAGCACTGTTACTTTTTGGCTGGACCTCCGTCAAGTATTCCTTTAGTCTGTTCCCTATTAGAGCTGCCTCAATCCAACGCGACCAACTCCGTGCGTGTCTGGTTCATCAAGCTTCATATCCATAGTAGGAAGATCTAGCTTTACCTGCGTCGGAACACGTTCTGAGATAGTTGCTTTCATTGAGATGCTAGCTCCATGTATAAGCCAGATCAAGACCTTTAAAATTTCAAGATTTATCTTCCCCAGCAGTTCCAATCATTTGCCTATCGCACTATCTCTGTCTCCTGAAATTCTCAATGACAAAGATCAAAGTCTAGATCACACAGGTTACATGTGATTTCCTGCAATTTTGTGTGATTTGCTTTGCCTTATCCCTCTTGAAGTTGCTAAAACTATGTCCTGCACGCAAAACCGCAGCAGCTTCGATCCTTTGCCTCACTATCGCCGAGTGAAACTTCAAAAACGAAGGCTCTACTCCGTTGCTTTGCTCACTCCGGAGCCGCTCGCAAGACCGCACTAAGCCTATCTTTCTGTGTCATGGTTCCACGTTGTCTCACCAGCTTCTGTGGTCTTCATATGCAATAGTCTCATTGTTGCCTCTCAACGGGCTCTAGCTAGGACTGCTCCGTGAGGGAAGTAGAGGAAGAAAAAATGAGAGTTTCGGGTCTTTTTATACCAATCTCAATGCAATAGTCCCGTCGTTGCCTTCTCAACGGACTCTAGCTACGACTAATTCGCGAGGATGAAGTGGAAGGAAGGGAAAGATTGGGATTTTCGGGTCTATGTATGCCGATCCTGATGTGGTTGTCACTATCCCGACATTGGCGTCCCATTTAGCTCTAGTCGCGGCCGCTTCGCCAGGACCAAGTCGAAGTAAAAAAACGTTAGGGTTCAGCTTTGATACCAAATAGAAAAATTACTCTGAAAAATCTTTTTGTTCATTTCATTAATGTCTTGGGCTTATATAGTCTTACAATATTTTTACAAATAAATCTCTTGACTTTCTCTGATTACAAACAGGACCATAAATTAGATATAAATTTTAACATGTTCAATTGCTTATCATATTACTAAAGATCACGAAGTTGGTTTCAGTTTCAAGAGAGGGCTAAAGGCACAACATTCATTAACAAAACGACACAAAGTTCTTTTTAGAAATACTAGGCTCTTTTAGAATATTGAGCACTTTGTGAGATTTCTCATCTCTTCAGGGATAGAGAACTCCTTATGAGACTGAGGTCGCCAGCCTCTTTGAACTATTTGTTTTTCAATCTTCAAAGTGATTTGTTTAGTCTCATCCTCAAAATTTTATACGTTTTCTCTGTAATATTGTTCTTTGTTGTATATCTTGACTATCATTTTTGTAAATTGAGTGACTGCTACGCAAAAACCTTTAACTTTCAAGAAGCGCGTTGCATGGCTGCTTGCTTCGTGGTTTTAGGAATTAAAAGATGAACGAGATCTATTCTTCAAGGATGGTTTCATGACCTGATACTTTTCTTTATCATATTCAATTGTTCGTTCATTTAATCCTCAAATATGAGCTAAGTTTCCCCTTTATTTGCAGGTAATGATAAATCAGGTTTTATGGTTGCGGGTCAAACATTTACAATTGGTATGAAATTCATACTTGCTCCTTGTTGTCAATAATTATTGCCTAAATTTATTTACAGTTAGAATTACTACTTTTATTGGTATGCCTATTTGCTATTATTTGTAGCTTGTTTATTTTAAAATAACATCCGTACACGATGCAATTGGCTTATTACTTTTCAATTATGATAGTTTTCTCCATGAAAGGTAATGTTCTTTTTAATTAAGAGTCTATTTGGTTATCTGTAAAAGTAATATAAAGGGAATGTAGTTATTCTAATTACTGTGTGTTCTGATTATTTAGAGTTGTTTGTTTGTCTGAAAAATAAATGTAGGAAAATTCTTGTTTCTGTTTACTTAGGTAATACAGAATAAAATAAAGACAATTTATTTTAAATACTTAAGTGTGTTTGGTTGTCAGTATATTCTGAATATTATTAGTTTTTTCTATTATTGGTTATATATCATACAATTTTTTATTAATTTGCATATTTAATAATTAATTATTCATATTTATTTTTATAATATTTATAATAAAATTAGATTGAATGTATTTAACATTAAATAAGTTACTGTTATTAATAATTTTTATGTAATTTCAAAATTAGAGTGTTATATAAATAAATATAAAAATTTGACTTAAAATATAAGTGAATTAATAATTCATATATTATATTCATCTCAAAATTCAACCACTTACATTGAGTAGAGATTATTATTACCTTTAAGCCATTCATTCTAATCATTAAAATCATAAAAACTAATTACATGCAAAGTTTAAAAAAATTATAACGATTATGCTTATTTTGACAAATAACCATATGAGAAATTATTGTGATTTCAAGATGCAAAGATTTTGAAGAAAGGCTTAAAATTAGATTCTCAAACACATATTTTGCATATACTAGACATCTTGCATATGCTAGGTATTTTAAGATAGAAATTAAATTAAAAAAAAACAATATTTTAAAAAAAATTTTAAGATTCTTATAGATTGAAGAGCTAGATTAACTTCAGAGGCAAAGATCAAGTAAACCTTTCACTATAGAGTATTCTTAAATAGAACTGGATGCTATTTCTTGAAGAGAAAAGTTAAATGAAACCTAATGACTATTACAGTACGTTTTACATATCAACAATTATTGCTTTATTTTGAGGGCTTTAGAAAGAGGCTATTCATAAGTTTTATCCTAACGCAACAAAAAAAATCATAACAAAGAAAACATGCATAACAAATCACATTGCTACATGTTTGCACATTACAAGTAAAAGGCAGTATTTTGAATATTTACGTTGAACAAGGGATTCAAGATCTATTTAGCAGAAAAAATATATTATCAGTGAAATTTCAAGAATTTTACTAGTTGAAAAGAGAATTATGATAAAGAAGAGAACAAATAGAATTCAAATTTTTTTATAAATTATTTAGCAGTAAAGAAAACATGGCTACGATTAAATCTTTTGCTGATTTATTTATAAGAAAACACGGAAGAACTGAGATAAGAAGATAAAAGAGAGAGAAAGTTGAGAATAGTAACCAGGAGCAAATAGTTGTACTTAGGCAAGGCGAAGAGTATACTATTGGCGTCGAGAATTTTGCGGCGGAATGAATCAATGGCCAGTGGGTAGTCACAATTTGCAGGCCAGTGTTGAGAAGAGGATGGGAACCGATGTCTGACTCTATTTGCATGCCACTTTTGTCCTTTTCCCACAACTTCTTAGCTTTAGGCCTGTTATAGAGAATTTCCAAACCCAGAAGACAAGGAGAGAGCTCGAAGCCGAGTATATAGCAATTAAATGAACTAAAATTAGCTTGAGAGGAATTCCAATCTGAGCATAAAGGAAGATAAAAAATAAAAACATAGAGGAAATTATTTTATCAATTTACCATAGTGGATGAGATTACAGTTGAAAGAGGCACAGCGAAGAGCACCCTAAATGGCTGCTACCCTTATAATAGCAGCATTCTCGCTCATCAACATCCCTTTCATTCTCTGTCCCTTTCTCTCTTACCGGGATTCACAATGTTTGGAGGCTGCGAAGGGGTCTTCTAATGAGCTGGAAGGACGGAGGCAGCAAGTGAATGTTGTGAAGGGTGCGACGGTATTTGAGCTCTTTGATTTTTTGCTCTTGCATATTAGGAATTTGTCTGATTTAAGAGGGCTTCGAGTCACAGAGAAAGGCAGAGAAGTTATATTCGGAATACAGCAAAAGAATGCATTGCATTCTACTTTCATTCTGCCAGACAGAAGAGAAAAAGTAAAATTTGAGGAAACGAAATGCAATACTCTTTTTTCCAGTCGACCAAAATAGCACCTAAGTGCATATTCTACGTCATTGTGTGGGAGTAAAACTCAAAGTTGGTCATAAAAAAAGAATTTACCAATTGTATTGTAACATCTCCGGATAATGTAATCTGACTCTAGCCAGTTATTGAGCATGGGAGATGAAAGAGTGGACGGGTTCCTCGTTATCTGAAGGGAGGCGGTGGTGAAGAGAGTTCGTACAAGCCAAATATGTACAATGGGAGGAAATAGAGGGGAAATAAAGGCAGCGTGCTCGGTGACAGTGGGATTCGAAGCAAGTTGTCAATTGCATGAAGGAGGAAGTTGTCACTAGGAAGATTGACGCGAACAGCTCGTGCATGCAATTTGGGCGTCGACCAAGGCTTGCCAGAGGAACGAACGGTGGATGTCCCGAGTAGAATGTGGATAGCAACATCAAGAGTGGTGCATGCTGTTCTCGCATGAGCTATGAGACAGTGACAGGTTTGTGCTGGTTATGAGCAAGTCAAATCTTGTACACATTGCAAATGGAGGAAGTTTGAGTCAATCGTGCTGGTAAAGAGACAAACCAAGCAAGGTTAGAATTTTTTTAAGAGTATATGTTAATTTTATTTATTTAAAGGATGAAATTAATATGTTCACCTAAGATTATTTTGTTCAATAAATTTGAACAAAAAAAATCTTGATTTAATTTTACTCTGAAATAATATAAAAGCTTTAAATTAACCAATGAATTTATGTTATTGAAAGTTAACAAAAAATTTGAATAATTTTAGCCTGAGCAGTAACTTAAATATTAATAGCAACCTATATATTTAATAAAATAGATATTAATTTAAATAAATTTTATTAGAGAAATAATTTAAAATCAAATTAGTATTAAATGGTTAATATTATTAGAAAATTTATCATAATTAATGAATGAAATTAAAAGACTATGAATTAAAATATATTGATCTATTATGCTATCTATAAATATAAAATAAGAAATTAAGGATTTAATTAGAATCCAAATTTTTAAATAAAAATAGAAATTATCTGCATACGACTTGGTTATCCGACTAAAATAAAAATGGAAATATAAATTATTAGTGAGGGAAAATATCGAATGAAATAAAATAGTTACAACTTTAACTTGGATGTAATAACAAAAATAAATTAATCATGATTTATATTAAATAAAAAAGCCATGAAAATGTAATGCATAAATCATGTATTTTTAATAAAAATTGTCAGATTAATAATTTAATTAAATCAATATAATAAAAAAATAATAATAACGTTTAATTTATCATAATTAAATAATGTATTAAAAATTTCTTAGCATAATAGTATATGTTTATTGAATGCGTAAAAATACACGAGATAGGGTCTAAGACGGATAAAATCTAGAGTCACAAAATATATAAATGAGTAGTTTTATTTTTAAATTATGATAATAATGTTGATTTTTCTCTAAACCAATTGCATGTAATGGTTATATAGATTGTACTTTTTACTCGTGTATTTATCATAACTTATGACATGTTGCCCATCGTTGTTTGTATGCCCCACGATACTAAATGTTGTATTTCATCATAACTTGCAATTATATTTTCAGAGCCAATTCTTACCATGGGAACCATTGAGGGCGTGACATGGGATGATGGCTGGACTACCGTCACGACAGACGGCCTTCCTGCCGTGCAGTTCGAGCATACGATATTGATTACAAAAACAGGCGCCGAAGTTTTGACCAAGTGCTGAAATCTGGAATATTGGTATAGTTTCAATCTGAAGCTGATCTTTATAATGTTCTTTTAAATTACATTCAATAGGAACTCTGTTATCTGATTGCTGCATGTACACTGTCAAAAGTTGTTGGAGACATTTTTCAACTTATATCATGATATGATGGGTTCCCCTGGGTTTTATACATTCAAATTAAGGGAAATTCTTCAGAGATAAAGAGAGAATTATAAATTCTGTAATCTCAATAATGTCTTTTCTTTTTAGAAAGTATTTTTGCTATGTAAAGTAGATATTAGATTATGTATCAATCAAATTGTAAAGCTGGACAATCACAGTTTCTCCTGTATTTTTATTTTGCAAGTAGTTTCCTGATATGCTGTATGGTTTTAGGATTTAGTTATCATCTAATTTGCATTTCATATGATTGTAATTCATTATTTTTGTTCAATACGAAGTTTATTTATTGTTTAATGAGTTATTTGTTCAAGGCTTAATATTACTTTCATGATGGTTTGTATATTATATATATATATATATATATATATGTATTAGTCCAGGGTGTTTTGCAAATATCATCTTCAATTTTTTGTTATTTCATCTCTCTACTTCTACGCCTTTTATTTTTGCCATTTTGAGCCTGATCAAGGGCACCCTGAGGTCACACTTGTAAGACATAATTATTATATCTTTGATTATATTTTCCTGACTAATGTAGTTGATAAGTAGATGAACGGTCTGTGACCAAGTCATTTTAACTCTAGAGGAAGCAGGAAGCGGTTGACCCATTCTAACTTGAAAGGATCTTATCATCAATCTTAAATTGTGTCATTCAAGGGGACTTAAATTTAGGATGAATTTTTGTCTAAGTTGATAAGATTAAATCAATTTTGAACAAGGTCCATTTATGCTCTATCAAATTTCTTTTATGATTCACCGGTCATAGAATTGGGTTGTTGAGAAGCTTATAGCTTTTAGTGAAGGCTTTAATTTAGGGTCCGTTTGAGGCAGCTTGTGCGTTTTAGGATAAGTTGTTTATCTTGAAACGCGGCCCGCTAGCCCCGCGACCTGTGTTTAGTGTAAAAACCCAAATGCAATTTAGGATAAACTGGTGAAACGTGCAAACCAAACGGTACGGCGGCGTTTTGAAAACGCTGCCCCAAACGGACCATTAATTGGCATAATTTTGTTGTAGACCGCCCACATAGAGTGCATTAATTATAATCATACTTCAAATGTGTCATTTTGATAATAAAATTGTTTAATTAGATGACAAGGGACACGTTATTGTTGGCATGAGACTGAGATTTTTAATAATGAATATAAAGATAAGTTTGATATAAAATTAACTCTGTGATATTAGCATCTTAATTTTGTCATCTTCATCAAACTTTTGTGGAGGATAAATTGATTATCACTTAAGCTTTGGACGGTAGATTTTGCTTGGACATTTTTTTATCTTGTAACTTTTTAGATCCTTAAAGTTTATATATTTTCTTAAGATTTAAGCCTAAAGAATTTGCTTAAACATTAATAGCCATTTTAAAAATAAAGGTTCTCTCTAGTTGAAATTTTCTTTCAACAAGCTCATTATTGAGGTATTGAATGATTTATTTGATTATGTTTAACTTTGTTGAGTCTATTTGCCCGAATAATAAACGGATCAAATTCTCTTACTCAGACTCAACAATATTCGAGTCAACCCGAACCCATATTTTTTTTGGTAAAGTTTGGGTTGTGTTAGTGTGTCGGGTTAATTTTTTGCACCCCTACTTGTGACTCATTTTATGTAATCGAATATTATTTATATATAAAAGGGGGAATAGTCAAAAGTCCTCTTACTTGAAAAGTTCGTCCTATTTATTGGACATAGAATGCAATGAAGAAAAATTACATTTCAAACCCTACTTTAAGGAGAGTTGTACAAGTTATTCTAGGAATTATACCCTTATAGAATCACGACCTTGTTGTCCTATAGCTCGGTCGATTAGGGTTGAAGAGGCGAACTGATAAGTGTTGTTGGTCGACCTGTTATATGGGGACCATCGGTTGGTTGATCCTTCAGAAAAGGGTGGCTGACTGGACTACTGAAGATAGTAATCGAAAAGGATCATATTAGTCGGTCATATGCATTTGGTCAGTCATGAATCCTCAATTCTTGCTTGGGGAATTCTTGTTGGCCGAGTAAACTTAAGCTATTATGCAGAGAATGATTTGGGTGTGTATCATTGAGTTGTTTCAAAAGGTTTATGGCTGGCGTCAGCTGATTGGTTCTACTAGGCCATGGGTCACTTTCCAGTGGGTTCAACTTTGTCATGTCATTATTTCTTGGGTTGTTGGATTGCCTCGAGATTTAAGTTGACACGTGTTTTTTTACAATTTTATATCATCGATTTGCTTACTTCTTAGAAGTTATGTTGTGAAAAGAATAAGAGAATTTAATCAAAAAAATAAGCAGTATTTGTGATTAATTAACAATGTAACAATTGAATTCCCTTGAATTTTGTGCCTACAATTCCTACAAATAAGGGGTGTGTTTATTGCATCTTCCTCTGATCTTATTCACTCAGTAGATCTGAATTTTGATCGCCAACTGTAGTTGCTCGCTTATGCCACCCTCAATTCGTCATTTGCTTAGCGTCGTGATTGCTATTGTTAAAGAGTCGCCAGCTTGTTTTTTGTTATGTTGCCCTTCTCCGAATAATTCTCCATCTGAAATCATGTAGGTGAACTAAGATGTGAGAAATTAGAAGACTAGGGCAGGCAATAATGAAAACAAACAAAAAAAGTATATGGGAAGCCTTCATAAAGTGAATTTTTGCATTGATAGCCCCAAAGCATATATTTGAAGTGAGATCGATTTGAAATGCTTTAAAGGCATAACTACAAAAAACACCTTATGAAACCTAACTACTAGATAATTTAAGTATATATACCTCCTTATAGAGTTCACATTATAGAGTTCACATTTTCCTTCTTATAGAGTTCACATCTTCCTATATGGGCAAGTCCCTATAGTTAATTACATCTTAAGTAGTCGATGCTACTAAAGAAAACTCTCAATTGAAGTTATAATTTGTTCTCAAAAAGTTCGAGTGTTGTTGTCAAGGAAAAGAACTTCAAAGTTCTATCCTAAGAATAGTGGAGTCCTAAAGATTCCAAACTCTCTTATGGTTTTGTTGTTTTCAATGGTTTACTTGAGGTTCATCATTTGCTCTGGGTTTTGAATGTCTGTCCTTGCAAAACAAAGTTAGCACGCCATAATAACATGCAAAATAAATCTATGGTGACATTCGCCTTTTGTCTTCAACAGCGCTGCAAAATAAATTTAGCATAAAATATGTTTGATTTGATTGGTTGGTTATTATTTTTATTTTAGGGAACGCGATTAAAATGCACATGGCTTTCTATCATCTTAGGGTTGTCAAGTTCCCTGATCTACTTAGTCTTAGAGGTGGTCAAACCTACTCTGAAGGGAAAATTCATGTAAAAAACCATGGGTTGCGTCGTCAAACAGATTTTCATAGACCCAGGTAAAGGGGTTCAAGTTGCGTTCGGTGGTCTTTGTTCATTAGGTTTCATTTAAGTTTTAATATCTTTTTCATATTTTAGGGGTTGAAAATTTTAGGTTTTTAAAAACTTTTTAGCCGATTGTTTTTTATGTTTTATTTTTTTTTGTTTGGGATGACTCGGTCAAGATCCCATTCTGTCTTCCCGCGGTCATTGGGGTTTGTGGTTTGATTAGTTAGAAGTGATTGAAATATAGTTTGTTAGCAGCCATGAGTTGTCTCGTCCAACATACCTTCTCAAACCAGGTTGCAATTCAAGGTTTCAATTTTAAGTTTTAATGTCTTTTAGGGTTAATTATATCATTTCATTTAGGTTGGTTTGATACCTTAGCCCAAATAATCTCCGACTGAGGCTAAGTGTTTTTTTTTCTCGCATGAGAAGTTAAACCCTCCTTAACCCCTAGTCACCTAGGTTTATGTTGATTTTAGATTAGTCCAAGTTTGGTTGAACTTATCTAAGATGAGTCTTCGGGTAATTCGAGTTACCCTAAGTTTGGTTGGTTTTCCCTCAAATTATCTTCAAACTTGTTTAAATCAGCCAGAGTTTATTAGGATTTACCCAGGTTGATTTTGTTCAATTGAGATCAAACTAAACTTACTTGGTTTAGCATGGCTTGAGATAAACTAAGCTAAACTAAGTTGGGTTAACTTAAGAGCAAACTAGGTTGAGCTAGGCTGATCCTAGTTAAAATATCTAGGTTTTAAGTTAAACTAGACTTAGGTAAAGTCTAAGTTAATTTAAACTTGAGTTTGCCTTTTCAAGTCTAAGTCGGATTATACATAAATTAATCCTTAATTAAACTAAGGTCCAAACTTAAGTTAAGCTTGAAGTTGAGTCTCAAATCGGGTCGATCGAAGTTAAGTCTAATTGACATGAAAAAAAAGTTAACTTGGGATAGCCCGAGTTAGGTTTGGTTAGCCCAATTATACGATTGAATTGGGCTAATTGAGTTAGGTCAGGTTGACCTGATGATTCAATTGAATTGGGCTAACCCAAGTTTGGTGGGTTGACCCAGTGATTTAGTTAACTAGGCTAACCCGAGTTAAGTCGGGTTGACCCGGTGGTTCAATTGAATTGGGTTAACACGAGTTAGGTCGAGTGGACCTAGTGGTTCAGTTAAATTGGGTTAAGCTCAATTATGTCGGTTCGACTAGGTGGTTCAGTTGATTTGGGTTAACCTGAGTTTGGTCAGGTTGACCCGGAGGTTTACTTGAATTGGGTTAACTTGAGTTAGGTCTGTTCGACCTAGTGATTTAGTTGAATTAGGTGAAACTGAGTTAGGTCGGGTTGACCCGGTGGTTCAATTGAATTAGTTTAACCCGAGTTAGGTCGGGTTGACCTAATGGTGCAATTGAATTGGGTTAACCCGAGTTAGGTCGGGTTGACCCGATTGTTTAGTTAAATTAGGTCTAAATTAGGTTAAGCCCAATTTAACTCAAGTTTGACTAAGTCCAGGTTAAGTTGGACTTAGGATGGTTCATTTTTAGATCCAATGTAGGTTAAACCTAAAAATGACTCAAGGTGAATTTTAGATCTAAGTTGAGTTAGACTTACAAGTGATTTGTGTTGTGTTTTAGGCCTTAGCTAATTTAGACCTAAATTGAGCTAAGCCTTAATGGGGTTAGGCTCAGGATAGATCTAGATCAGGCTAGACCTCGGGGAAGTTCAAGTTGAAATTAGGTCTAAGTTAAGTTAGATAAAAAAAATTGTAGTGTTTAGGTCAAATGTAGGTTAGACCTAAAAAGTTGGG